TTCTATATATCAGTAACAAACCTATACAAAAGAGATTTCAAAAAATATAACATACTGTGTTAAAGAACATAAAATAATTGAGGATAAATTTAACAAATATGTTTAAAATGTCTATGTTGAAAACTACAAAACATTACTGATAGAAATTAAAGAAACATAATTAAATAGAGAGATACAGGAAGTTCATAGATTGGAAGACTTATTATTGTGAAGAATTTAAATAAATTCTCCTCAAATTGATCTACAGAGTGCATTCAATCCCATTCAATAATCCAATAAATTTTCTATGTAGTTAATTACAGAATTTAAATAGAAATGCAAAGGATTTAGAAGAGTCAAACAATCTTTAGAAAATAGAACAAATCTGCAAAAATTGCAGTACCTGATATCAAGACTTGTGTGATGCAAAAAAAAAAAAAAAATCAATACAATGTAGTTCTGGCATAAAGATGGACAAAGAAATCAATGGAACACAATAGATTGTATAGAAGTAGACTCACACATAATCAACAGAGTTTTAATAAAGGTGCCAAGATAATTCAATGAGGGAAAGAACATATTTTCAACAAATTTGCTGTAACAAGCAGGTAAATGTATGAAAAAATGAATTTCAACCACTACCTTACATCGTTACAAAAATTAATTTAAGATGCATCATAATCATAGATATAAAAGCTAAAATAATAAAAGTTGTGGAGAGAACATATAAGAATGTCTTTGATCATGGATGTAAACATACATGTTTAGATGGGACACAAAAAACAATGATTACAAAAGAAACAGAAATAAATTAGACTTCCATAATTTAAATGTCTGCTCACCAGACATTCTTTAAGAAAATGAAGAGCTAAGTCACAGAGTAGGAGAAAAATATTCACAATGCATATATCTGACAAAGGATGTGTATTGATAATATATAAAAACCTCCTACCTACTACTCAATTATAAAAAAGGAAAACAACCAAATTTTGAAAAATACAAAGGACACGAACAGATACTTCTCAAAGAAAGAAACACAAATGACCAATAAGCACATTTTTAAAAAAAGCACTTGACATGTTAGTCAACATGGAAACACAAATTAAAGCCATAATGAAATATTCTCACCATAATGAAATACACTCACTAGAGCAGTTAAACTTTAAAAACTGACAGAAACAAATGTTGGTGGGAATATGGAATTCATATACAGTAGTTTTCCTCTTATCTGTGGGGGATATGTTCCAAGATCCCCAGAGGAAGACTGAAACCTCAGGTAGTACCAAACCCTATATGTACTAAGTTTTTTCTATACATACATGCCTATGATAAAGTTTAATCTATAAATTAGGCACAGCAAGAGATTAACAACAATAACCAATAACACAACAGAATTATAAATACTGCAATAAAAGTTATGTGAATGGTGTTGGGGCTGTTAGTAAGTAAAATAAATGTACTTGAACATAAGTACTGTGATACCACGACATTCCACCTGATAACTAAGGTGGCTACTAAGTGACTAAGGGGACAGAGAGTGTATACAGCGTGGATATGCTGGGCAAGGGGTGATTAATGCCTCAGGCAGGATAGAGCGGGGTAATGCAAGATTTCATCATGCTACTCAGGGCAGCGCACAATTTAAAACATATTAATTGTTTATTTATGAAATGTTCCATTTAATATTTTGGCACCGTGGTTGACCATGGGTAATTGAACCCAGGGAAAGCAAAACTGCAGATAAGGGGGTACTATTGTATGTTTCTTTAGGAAGTGCAAAATAATGAAACTACTTTGAAAAAAATTTTGGCAGTTTCTTATATATTGGTTGTCGGAAAAGTCGTGACGTATTTTTTCTGTTTTTCATTGTAAAAATGCACCATGACTTTTCTGACAACCCAATAGTTAAAAATACACCCAATTTATGACCCATTAATTCTCCTCCAAGGGATTTACTAAGAGAAGTAAAACATGCTGACAAAAAAAAAAAAAGAATGTTCATGGAAGTTTTATTCTAAGTAGTACCCCAAAAATCAAGAGGATAACGGATAGACAAATTATGAGATTTGGTGTAAAATACTACTCCTTAATAAAGAGCAAAGGTCTACTCGACCTTATATGCAACAAATGGATGCATTTCAAAAACAGTATGCTACATAAGAGATGCACAAAACAAGACACTGTTTCTACTTCCATTTCTATGAGGTTTTAGAACACAGCAAAACTAATCTAGTGAAAAAATAAGAAAAGTGGTTCCGTAGAATGAGAGGTTAGGATTGACTGGAAAGGGGCACATGGAAATTTTCTCAGGTTGGAGAAATTATGTATCTCGAAAGGGGTGTGGGTTATACAGGTGTTTTCATTGTAAAACTTATCGAAATATAACACTTTATATCTCCTCATTTCACAGTATGTAAAATACACATTTTTTTAATTAGAAGAAAAAATCATAAATAATTTTCTGTAAAAATTATTCAATCAGGGTCATTTAAGAAATGAAAATGATTGCCATATTAAGAATGCAGGATTTTAAGTGATTTTTAAATTTTGCTTCCTCTGTTTATTCATTCATTCAGCAATTATAGAATACCAACTATGTGGCTGTTACTGTTCTAGGTGTTTTGAACACATCAGTAAGCAAAACAGAGATACCTGCTTTCAAGTTGCTAACCACCTATGGGTTTGGGGGAGGCGGGGGTGTGGGTAAAGGAGAAAAACAAGATAATCAAGAAAACCATAATAAACAAGTAAATAATGTAGTGTTTAAAAAACTGAGAAATGCTGAGAAAGAAAACCTGTTACACTGCCATATTATACTCCAGCTGCTTGATGCCATTTTTTTAAAAAAAGTTATGGATATGCCTTTATTAACTTATTAGGATTTTTGCCCTTATTAATTGATTGATCATGCATTAGAAGCATTCCAGAAATAGGGGTGTGTGTGTGTGTGTGTGTGTGTGTGTGTGTGTGTGTGTGTGTGTGTGAACGTGCTAGGTTATCATAATTGCTTTACTCCTCAAGCTTTTGCAATATTTAATGCCTGGATAAATATATACCATAAGATGTCACCTGGGATAGGTGAAAAGGTTGGTTTCAAGGACATTGTATTCAATGTTAGTCACATTGCATGTGTTACTGAGTCATAGTTACATAGAGTTATCCAGCCAGAGAGCAGCCCTTTGTCTTCCATATAAAAGACAAGCTGCTTAAATGTTACAGAATTCAGACACCCAAGTCATTAAGATGTGGTTGTACATAAAATATGCCGCACTGATAATTCAAAATAGACAAGAAGAATGTGCTCTAGGAATGATTCTTCTATAATTCATAATATCTGGCACAAAACATAAATAAAGCCCTATTTTTCTCCTTCAGTGCCCTGCCTTGAAGGAGTCACTGAGCCAACTTGTTATCTGCCAGTAACAGTGAGTTGTGGGTAGGCCTTCAGCTATGCGGGGACTCTTCCTGTATTTTTTCACAAGAAATAGACTGAGAATGTAAGAAACCCCCAACAAAGAGAATAATAACGATTCAAAAGTTTTTTGCAATGAGATTATTCAACATACAAAAATATTAAGCCCCATGTTGTAAAATATACAAAAAAAAAATAAAGTGTTTTAAATGTTTGCTCTTATTTGTAGTTTTTAATTATGCACTTTGGAAAACCAAGTCTCTAATCAAGTTCTATGGATATACTAATGGACCTCCAAGCTTACATATACGCTGCATCAGAGGACTGTTCCCAATAACGTGTTTATCTGCCAGCAGCACTTCTGTTTTCCTGCCTCTTTTCCTGTACATATAATTCTGCTCACACAGAATGCCTTCTCACTTGCTGAAATGCTACCCACATTTCTAGTTCCAACTCAAGTCCCTTTGCCGTGGTGAAGTGCTCCCCGACCAACATAATCAGAAGTGACCTGTCGTTCCTCTCAGCTCACACAGCATGATCTTCTGTACCATTTGTTTGGTCTAGAATTGTACCTGCTCATTTCCTGATTACAATTATCCTTCTTGGAGGCTTGTAGCCCAGTTAGGGTACTAAGAATTACAGGCTCTACATGCAGAACCTATTTTAAATCCAAGTTGCATCTGCAAAATTGATTAGTAAATTTTGTTATTACAGATATTACGAATGATGATTCCCTGGCCAGCCCTTAAAAGATCATCTAACCCATACAACGTCTGACATATAGTATCAATAGCACCCTTCACCAAATTATTTTTCTGAGAAAACCGTCTTTCTCAGAAAAACATAGTATGTGATTTTGTTTTGCTTCTACACTGCCAACATCAAGTTGATAAAAAAAAAATGCTTAAATGGTTATTAATGGTGAAATATTCTGTGAAGTCTCACAGGTTGGTATATGGCTTTCGAAGAAATTCACAGGACTCATCCTCACCCTATGGTTTCCAAGTTTCTGCTCAGCAGCTTCTGTGAAACCTCACCTCAACTTCGAATGCTGCATGGTTCCCATCAATCAAGAAAATACTGTCAGAACGGGGTGGGAGGAGCCAGGTATGGACTACCTAGCGGCACACAGCACCATCTTACCTCAATTTCCAGGATATTGCTCTTAAAGGGGCTTAGTTTAAGAAGGGCTTGCTTTAAGCCTTTAAATAGAGTCAATGTGTTGCCTTGTTTGAGCTGAATTCATAAAAGCACAGAAGTTTAAAATACGAGTAAGATAATGCTACTTGGCCTCTTTAGCATCTTCTCTTATACTGCTTATGTTTAAAGGCATGCATTAGAGAAGGTGTTTAAAGATAAAGCAGAAGAAAAAATATGGTTCATGGATGGGCAGCTTTGATTTGAAAAACAGTCAATAAAAATGTGGAAACAAACACTTTGAAATGAAGGAGTTTACAAAAATTAAGCTAATTTTGTACTCATTTCCTTTTTCTTCTACTCCTTTTGGATGAGCCTGCAGGATTAATAAGAATAATCATGCCAATTTGTGAAAACACAAGCCTTTCACTGAAAGCCTAGTTATGCGGTAGAAATTAGCAGCTTCTCTTACCTCTTAGTTCCCCCATATCCAGAGTAGTCCCAAGTTGTTCTAATAAAGCAACTCTTGCCGCATTCTTTTTGTGTTTCTTGCCATCATAATGCTGCTGGGCCATCAGAGGATTATTAAACCAGGCTGCACAGAGGCCACAGTATCTGTCTGAATCTCTTCTTTGATAGGGAGACGAGACCACTGGAGCAGTGTCCACCCTCGGAGGCTTAAGTGAGCTCAGGGGGGTTGCTGTGGAGGCAAACAACCAGAGAGAACCACAGGCCAGGTTAGTACACTTGTCCTCAATCTCTGAAGGTGGAAGAATCTCATGTTCATTCTAGAGCTCAAAAATCCAACAGTTTATGGAGAGCAACAAAATAATCTTTGCGAGCCTTTATTTTTGAAGTTGGGATATATGACTGAAAATTCCTAATGTATTGAGATCAGAGTTTTCACTTCATTATGCTTAAATATGATAGTTCAGGAGACCATCCTCTATGAAGAAAGATTTTTAAAAAATAAACTCTTAGAGATAAACAGTGGTCTATTAATCAAATTCAAGCCAACACTTGAAGTAAACATTAAACAATCATGACTTGAAAGATTCTGAATGAATGAACGAGACGTTTGTGTGCTATAAATAGAAATCACCAATAAATAAAGGATTCTCCCAAGTGATACAGGCAGATCTTTCAGTGACATGGATTGCACCAACTGACAAAATCATGCCAATTTTATTGTCAGTTGCTTCTGTTTACTATGATAGGTTATTTTCAAACTATACCTTCTAAAAATGATATTAAAAGTACAAATTTTTTTTATTAAAGACCAAAACACAAACACTATAGACCAAATGTTGCTTCTCTAAACAAAAAAAAAGCATATATTACTATTTTGAGGTTACACAGTCCCAGCTATTAATTTAACACATTCCATTGTGAGCTTATTATTTTGGGTCCAGAGAAAAAAGAACCTAACTTCAAGTTTACTAACAGCAAATAAAAAATCACTTTTTTATACAACACACAAGTTACTTTCATCCTTACAAAAACTATGACTGGGATTATTGTTTCGTTTCCCAGATGATGGACTGCAGAGATGCCAAATGATTTACTAACGGTGAAATATCTAGTTATGGTAAAAGTAGGATTCCAAACCAAATCCTTAATTTCCATGACCAGTGTATCTTTTGATATCCCTAAGGACTCTTTTCATACCTCATAATAAAAAAAGGGATTTTTTTTCTTTCCCTAGACCTCAGTCATCTTTGTATTTTATAAAGGATTTCATTTAATTTGGGCAGTAAGTTCTCATACAAGTATTATGGAGGGAAAAAAAGATATTTAAATTTTCACACAGCCCATTAGTTATAATGCCATATAGCAGTACCTTCTATGAGGTGTGATCAAAAACTACGGTGAATGTTTAAATTTTAAAAATATAGTAAAAGACACATTGTCATTAATTCCCCTCAAAATACTTGCCCTCACTTCAAACATACTTATCTCATCATTCTTGACACTTTCTGAAGCATTCTGGAAGTCCTCTTTCGTGAGTGTCTTTAGTTGTGCTGTCATAGCTGCCTCCATGTCCTGAATCATTTTGCCTTCAGAAAAGAGCCAGAAGTCACACGGTGCCAGATCCAGTGAATAAGGTGGATGAGGACACACCGTAGTGGTTTTTCCTGACAGAAATTGCCATACCAGAAGCAATGTGTGACATGGAGCAAAGTCATGATAGAGGATGAAATAAAGACACTCACGAAAGAGGACTTCCAGAACTGCTTCAGAAAGTGGCAAGAATGATGGAATATGTGTGTGTGAAGTGAGCGGGAGTATTTTGAGGGGGATTAATGACATGTCTTTTTCTGTAATAAATAAAAAAAAAAAGTAAACATTCACTGTATTTTTTTATCACACCTCAGATTTGTCCTTTATCTCTGTGAATTGGAAAAAAAATGAAAATTAGGGTCATTCCAAGGAAAAGCTGAGATCTAGAACCTCAGTAACAAGTTAAAGAACTATTTGACCAACTTCCCAAGCTTTCAGATAACTTTTATGTGGACTTTTATTTTTCAGATTAAATAACTGATATAGAAATAAATACTTGTTAAATGATATTTTAATTCAAGAGATGCCTGTAGTGTAACAATATCTCGAGAAAGTCTTTTCCTTTCTATCCAGAGATTTCATCACACAGGGAAGTTTTAGCTAGCTTGAATGAAAATTAATGGTATTATTTTTATAGGGACTTAGAGAAATAATACATCTCTTAAAAGCCTCATTGCCAGATATAGTCATAAATCACTATGAAAATAAAGCTCAAACATGGGCTGTACCATTCTAGCAGCCTTCCCAGTATCATTCTGCGGTGACTTAGAAATGCTAATAAAAAGCTACAAATATGCAGTTGACCTGCATGTGAGAGGACTTCTATCCACTTTTCTGAAGGAAATTGGATCTTGCTTCCAAAGTTTCCTGCATCCTTATCAATTTCTGAGGATTTATAGCCACCTATTGTTTTTGAGAGCAGTGGAAAACATATCAAATGTTTGCAATCTGAATGAATGTTGACTCTTGAAGCATAATACTTTTCTCTAAACTGGGTCCTAAAAAAAAAAATCAGAGTCAAATTTATCAATTCATACTTTATACATCACATTCTAGCAGGAGTGATGCACAACAATAGAATATTTGTCAAATAAGATAGTAATCTTATCTTGCACCTAAGTAGTTTGATGCTGCGTCTCTATAGTAGCTTCTCCTCTTTAATAATTCTACTATTCCTTGCACTGGAAAGATTAATTTTTCTTATGCTCCTGTTTCCAACTGTCTTCAACAATCTCAACTCAGTTTACATTCTGTATAATGGCAAACTAAGGTGGTAGCATGAGGTGAGTGGAAACAGCTGAGAATCAAAGTCAGAAATCAAGGTTGGGTTGGACTCCACCACCACTGAGCTGTGCAAACTTTGGTAAATCTCTGACTTCTCTGGCTTCCACAAGGTTAAAATTCAGTGTCACCATCTCGTTAAAACTGCTAGTGCGGGGGGATGGAACGCACTGCAGAAGCTCTCTCTCTTTTATGGCTTTTACTAATGCCAAATAGTGAGGTTCTATAGGAGGAGAGCAGTTTCCAGGTTATATTGCTAAACCTGCGTGTGTATTTGGATCATAACAACAATATTTCTTTGGCAAAGTGTACTATTCTAATAAAATGAATGCAAAGTAGGGTAAAGATTACCCTTTGTGGTTTAAAGCATGTTTTTAACATAACACTTTGGTTGATGTATAGTTAATTTTTATTTTTATTTCATGCTTTATGTTCTCATTCTAATTGCAAATATATTTAGCCAAATATTGACTTCACTTCCCCTATGTAGAACTTAAAACCAAGAGTGAATTCATCAAAAGCCAGTAGTTTCCAAGCTTGGATGAACATTAGACTTACCGAGAGCTTTAAAACTCTCTATGTCCAGGTTGTTTCCCAGACTAATTACACTAGAATCAGATGCTTTTAATAACTCCCTCTCCCCACCACCTTTATCCATGCTATTAAAGCACAGCCAATGTTGTGAACCACTGATCTAAATACTGCCAGACTTTATTTGAAAATGACTGTAAAATAATGTCTTCTTGGATCTTCACACAAAAGAAAGTCACATATTACATCCAACAGCAATGGAGCAAAATTTTTTGTAGGCAATAACCAAAATGTCACATCTTAATCCAAGAGACAGGAAGGAATAATTATTACTTGGTATTTTCACAAAATCCCAGTCAGTTTTCCCGTTTCACCAAGATATAAAAGGTTCTCCAAAATAGTAGCTGATGTGATGCATTAACATGATAGAAGTTAGATAGCAATTCTGATCCTTTTCCACATGCAGAAACTAAAATACACATAGAGCTCTTGCACTGCTATACCACCTATCCCTGGTTGGTGCCATCACCAGCTTGGTCTGCTGCGCTGGACCAGCCCTCTCCATCTAGCTAACACCTGTCCTGCAGGATGTTCCTCGATCCCATGTGGTCTGTGAGGCCTTGGCAACCACCTTGTAATCTTAGGGGTAGGGGTGTGTGTGTGTGTGTGTGTGTGTGTGTGTGTGTGTGTGTGAAATTAGATCATAATACTAATAAGTATTTGGATACTTGATACTTTTGAGTTTGCCCTCTTCTCCAGTACATGTCCACAATCCCTTATTTTAGCTCAAAAAAATTCAAAAATCTCTGAAATTCAAAATTTCTTCATGATTCACTTGTCATCAAAACCTGACCTGAATTCACACAAGGCTATTTATAGCATGTGTGTGTATCACTTAGTGTGAATATACATACATATTACAATAGTATTATTAATATCTCTGATCATGTAGTGCTGTCTCAGATCCATAGAAACAATATATGGTACGTGTACCTTATTATATATCAAAAATCCTAAAATTCTGATTTTCAAAATTCATTCAGCCTCAAATAGTTTGAACAAAAGATCACAGATCTGTAGCCAGTTCAGAGTAACTAAACTCAGATTTTTCTAATGCTTGAGACAGTTGAAACAAGTCAATCTCCGAAACTTGATTTCTAAGAATAACCTGACAATGGAATAATTTTCAATATCACTTTTAGTGCCTTGCATAATGTTTGTCAAGGATCCCATTATCAACAGCTATTTGTAGCTGTCTTGAGTAATCTAAAATAATGTGTATCTCTGTCCTATATTTGTTTCTTCCTGGAACAATAACCACAGTACAGTTGATCTAAGGACAGAAATATTTCCAGATCACCCTGAGTGTGCCTCTCTCAGAACCCCTCCTCACTCTGTAATGTAACATTGTGTACAGCCAACCACTCTCCATGATGCCAGCACCTTGCATGGCGGCAGATTTGTAGTGTATATCCCATGCCTTTTGCTGAATGAATGAATGTATGAATGCTCTTCACGTGAGAAGTGAGTAAAGTACACTGGTAACCAGAGTTTTCTTATGTCTTCTAAATCATGTCGTTTAGGCATAAGTAGTTAGGTGTTGTACTACTGGTCAATGTAAATACTAGCAAATAAGTGACAAGATTAAAGGGCAGGAGGAAAAGGCTAAATTGTGGAAGGGCAACATATCAATGTGTAGACATATCCCAGTCTTCCTCCTTTTTTTGGATTCAACTGGATATTTCAAATGTCAGTATTCTTTCAAACTTTTGTCCGTTTGCTAGAGTGGCCTATTTCTATATATTTCAGAAAGTGCAAATATGCACA